GCAACCAGCACGGGTCAGTTGGAGCACTCACTTGGTGGTACCATAGGAGAAGAGCAGCAAGCCCGCATCTTTCGCTTTTGAGAATCCTCAACAGTGAATTCAACAAAGCAACCAGCACGGGTCAGTTGGAGCACTCACTTGGTGGTACCATAGGAGAAGAGCAGCAAGCCCGCATCTTTCGCTTTTGAGAATCCTCAACAGTGAATTCAACAAAGCAACCAGCACGGGTCAGTTGGAGCACTCACTTGGTGGTACCATAGGAGAAGAGCAGCAGGCCCGCGTCTTTCGCTTTTGAGAATCCTCAACAGTGAATTCAACAAAGCAACCAGCACGGGTCAGTTGGAGCACTCACTTGGTGGTACCATAGGAGAAGAGCAGCAAGCCTGCATCTTTCACTGCTTGAATGTTGGCTGAGTCAGCAAGGAGCGTCTTCACTTCGGACACCACGCCAGCTAGGCCATCTGACGTGCAGCACACGGATTGGTGGGATGATGGACAGTGATTGGTGGGTGTAATGACGTGAAAAACAAGGGTTGGTGGGATGATACATATGGGTTGGTGGGACGATGTTGAAAACAATAAGAGCACTGGAAGGGAAGCAGAGAGCGAAGGAAAGAGTTCTCCGTCATTGTAATAAATTGATAGTGGAGGCTAGTATCTAAGACAGGCTGGTTCCTGGTGCTCACGTTATGGTCGAGAGTGGTTGTGAGCGGTTGGGAATGGTCTGTGGTAGTTTGTAATGTTGGGTGCAACTCACGAGCCTTGCAGTGAGCCACAGCAGCTTGCACAGAGTTCATTCTCTCGTCACTGAAGCTGCCGCATCCCACCGTCAGAAACAGGACCTTTAGGAGCATAGAGGGTGCGAGTGGAATGGAGGGACATACATTACACATACAAGGTGGGGAAAGGTGGGGACAGGTGGGGACAGGTGGGGACAGGTGGGGACAGGTGGGGACAGGTGGGGACAGGTGGGAACAGGTGGGGACAGGTGAGGACAGGTGGAGATAAGTTGAATTGGAGCTGGGAGTCAGTAAAATAATTTTTGAAAAGCTATTCATCTGTCCAAACATACTGTGGGTGTGCTTGCCCTGCCTCACCTCGCCTTGCGTTTGCTCTACCTCGCGTTTTCTCTACCTCACGTTTGCTCTACCTCACGTTTGCTCCCGAGCTTCAGCGCTCCCGAGAATTCTCAAAAGTAACACCAACATAGCTGACCCTCCTGAGCTTCAGCACTCACTCACTGGACCTTGCTACCTCCCTGGACCTTGCTACCTCCCTGGACCTTGCTACCTCCCTGGACCTTGCTACCTCCCTGGACCTTGCTACCTCCCTGGACCTTGCTACCTCCCTGGACCTTGCTACCTCACTGGACCTTGCTACCTCCCTGGACCTTGCTACCTCCCTGGACCTTGCTACCTCCCTGGACCTTGAGCCTTCTAAAAAACACAGCAAGGTCTTGACCACCCCCTTCCTGCATCTTGGAATATCCTTGCCATGCGTTTGCCCCCTCACTTCACCTCGTGGTTCCTCTCTCTCGCCTCACCTGGTGTTTGGATTGCCTCTTCTTCAGCTCCACGACAGCGTCTGGCATGAATGAGGAGAAGAAGAGAGGCCGCGACCCACAGTTTCGCCTTTCCATCCTTTGCAAGCTTCAGCACTCCCTCCCAGCATCTCAAATTCGCCTCATCTAGTGCCTCCTCTCCCTCACCTCACCTGGTGTTTGGATTGCCTCTTCTTCAGCTCCACCACTGCATCTGGCATGAAGGAGGAGAAGAAGAGAGGGCGCGACCCACAGTGCAACTCCACCAACTGTATGCATGCATGCATACAGCGTACAACATACATCACACAGCATGCAGCATAGGGCGTGCCGCATGGAGCATGCAGCATAGAGCACACGGAACAGTATTTTTGACAAATGTTAAAAAATGGCCTACCGCACGCAGTATGGAACATGCACCATACAGAATCCAGCATGACACTTTTTTTAAGAGTTCTAAAAAATACTACATCATTCAGCATGGAAGATAATGCCTCGTACACCATACAGCATACATCATACACCATACAGCATACATCATACACCATACAGCATACATCATACACCATACAGCATACATCATACACCATACAGCATACAGCATACATCATACACCATACAGCATACATCCTACACCATACAGCATAGATCATACACCATACAGCATACAGCATACGTCATACACCATACAGCATACATCATACACCATACAGCATACATCATACACCATACAGCATACATCATACACCATACAGCATACAGCATACAGCATACAGCATACAGCATACAGCATACACCATACACCATACACCATACAGCATACATCATACACCATACAGCATGCATCATACACCATACAGCATACAGCATACACCATACAGCATACAGCATACATCATACACCATACAGCATACAGCATACACCATACAGCATACATCATACACCATGCAGCATACATCATACACCATACAGCATACATCATACACCATACAGCACACATCATACACCATACAGCATACAGCATACATCATACACCATACAGCATACATCATACACCATACAGCATACATCATACACCATACATCATACAGCATACAACATACAGCATACAGCATACATCATACACCATACAGCATACATCATACACCATACAGCATACATCATACACCATACAGCACACATCATACACCATACAGCATACATCATACACCATACAGCATACAGCATACATCATACACCATACAGCATACATCATACACCATACAGCATACATCATACACCATACAGCATACATCATACACCATACAGCATACAGCATACATCATACACCATACAGCATACAGCATACATCATACAGCATACAGCATACATCATACACCATACAGCATACAGCATACACCATACACCATACAGCATACATCATACACCATACAGCATACACCATACACCATACACCATACAGCATACATCATACACCATACAGCATACAGCATACATCATACAGCATACAGCATACATCATACACCATACAGCATACATCATACAGCATACAGCATACAGCATACACCATACAGCATACATCATACACCATACAGCATACATCATACACCATACAGCATACACCATACACCACACAGCATACAGCATACAGCATACAGCATACAGCATACAGCATACAGCATACAGCATACACCATACACCATACACCATACAGCATACATCATACACCATACAGCATGCATCATACACCATACAGCATACAGCATACACCATACAGCATACAGCATACATCATACACCATACAGCATACAGCATACACCATACAGCATACATCATACACCATGCAGCATACATCATACACCATACAGCATACATCATACACCATACAGCATACATCATACACCATACAGCATACAGCATACATCATACACCATACAGCATACATCCTACACCATACAGCATAGATCATACACCATACAGCATACAGCATACGTCATACACCATACAGCATACATCATACACCATACAGCATACATCATACACCATACAGCATACATCATACACCATACAGCATACAGCATACAGCATACAGCATACAGCATACAGCATACAGCATACACCATACACCATACACCATACAGCATACATCATACACCATACAGCATGCATCATACACCATACAGCATACAGCATACACCATACAGCATACACCATACATCATACACCATACAGCATACAGCATACACCATACAGCATACATCATACACCATGCAGCATACATCATACACCATACAGCATACATCATACACCATACAGCACACATCATACACCATACAGCATACAGCATACATCATACACCATACAGCATACATCATACACCATACAGCATACATCATACACCATACATCATACAGCATACAACATACAGCATACAGCATACATCATACACCATACAGCATACATCATACACCATACAGCATACATCATACACCATACAGCACACATCATACACCATACAGCATACATCATACACCATACAGCATACAGCATACATCATACACCATACAGCATACATCATACACCATACAGCATACATCATACACCATACAGCATACATCATACACCATACAGCATACAGCATACATCATACACCATACAGCATACAGCATACATCATACAGCATACAGCATACATCATACACCATACAGCATACATCATACATCATACACCATACAGCATACATCATACACCATACAGCATGCACCATACACCATACAGCATACAGCATACATCATACACCATACAGCATACAGCATACATCATACAGCATACAGCATACATCATACACCATACAGCATACATCATACAGCATACAGCATACAGCATACACCATACAGCATACATCATACACCATACAGCATACATCATACACCATACAGCATACACCATACACCATACAGCATACAGCATACATCATACACCATACAGCATACAGCATACATCATACAGCATACAGCATACATCATACACCATACAGCATACATCATACACCATACAGCATACATCATACACCATACAGCATACATCATACAATAAACATCATAGAAACCATACAACACACAGCATGCAGCATTTTGCGCACAACTGTATTGCAGTAGCAGAGAGGATTTATTACTTTATATATTTTTGCAACACCAGCAGCAACAACATGGGTAAATAACGCACTTACTCATAGCACCAACTCACAGGGAGCAGGGCAGAGAGACTTCGGTCAATCTCAGCAGGTCCGCCGGCGTCCTTGGAGTTATCAGCAGCGAATTTGACCTCCACATTGAACCCTATGGCGGGGTCAACGCGGTCAAACAGGTCAACGCGCCAGTGGAGTGAGGCTGATCGATCAACTCGGGGCAGCAACTCACAGGGGGGCAGAGAGGATAGTCGAGGTGCCTCAGAGGCCAACTCAGAGGGAGAAAGGGTGAGAGACAGACACAGAGGGAGCCAAGCAGACTGACAAACTCACAGGGAGCAAGGCTGAGAGGATTCGATCAATCTCAGCAGGCCCCCCGGCATCCTTTGAGTCGTCAGCAGCGAATTTGACCTCCACGTTGAACCCTATGGCAGGGTCAACGCGGTCAAACAGGTCAACCAGGGTCGGCATGGCGTCCTCCTCCTCTGCCACCCACGTGTACGTGCTGCCGTCCCTGCGTCTCCTAATCAGCTGCATGCCCATCTGGGTGGTTTTGAGAAGGGGAGTATGCAGAAAATAGGATGTTCACACACCGATGATCTCCCCCTACTCTGCCACCCACCCACGTGCACACGTGCTGCCGTCCCTGCGCCGCCTGATCAGCTGCCTGCCAATCTGCAGAAGTAAGGAAGGTAGAGCGTGCACGTTAAAAAAAGGTCAAAAAAAGGTCAACCAGGGTCGGAATAGCATCCTCCTCTTCCGCTACCAACGCATATGTGCTGCCGTCCTTGCGCCGCCTGATCAGCTGCCTGCCCACCTGCTCAAGGAAGGAAGGCAGAGCGTGCACGGTCAAACAGGTCAAACAGGTCAACCAGGTCAAACAGGTCAAACAGGTCAACCAGGGTCGGAATCGCGTCCTCCTCCTCCACCACTACCAGCTGGTGGTATTAACTGCCTACCCAGCTGTCGTCCTTGCATCTCCTGACCAGCTGTCGTCCTTGCATCTCCTGACCAGCTGTCTGCCCATCAGCCACTCACCAGGCGGATGTGCCACACCCGCCCTTTCATCCCATTCTTAAACTGCACTGCACCCTTGGCTGAATCCCCCCCTTTGTATCCCATTTTTTAGAACCCCCACTTGGTTGAATCCCACCCTTTGGACCCTTTGCCTTTCGTGTTGACTGAAGAGAAGCTCACCTTCTCACCTTTCCTGGGGTATGGGACAGTCCGATTGCCTGGAACTCGGTGAGTGTGCCGTTGGATATCTCAATGACCCACCTCACTCACTCACTCACTCACTCACTCACTCATTCAATGTATGAAGAAGGCCCACCCTCTCTCGCTCACCTTTCCCGGGGTCTGTGACGGCCCGATTGCCTGGAACTCAGAGAGTGTGAGGTCAGCGATCTTGCAGTCAAGCTGCAGAGGAAGGCGGAAGTGGGTGTGGAGGGGGGAGGAGTGGGGGAGAGTGAGTGGGGATGTGTGGGGGCGGGTGGAGGGGATTGGAGGACTGGAACTCAGAGAGTGTGAGGTCGGTGATCTTGCAATCCAGCTGCAGAGGGAAGGGGGCGGGTGGGGGAAGGGGGATCGATGAGGGAAGGAGGGGATGACTGGGAGAAGAGAGTGGAACTCAGTGAGTGTGGGGCGCGCAAATGGGTGGGGAGGGAGGAGTGGGGGAGAGTGGGCATGGATGGGGGACGGTGGAGGTGGTTTGGGGGAGAAAAGTGGAACTCAGAGAGTGTGAGGTCGGAGATCTTGCAGTCTAGCTGCAGAGGGAAGGTGGCGGGTGGGGGGGAGTGGAGGAGGGTGGGAAGGGTTGGGGAGAGGAAAAATGGACAGTGGCCTATCGACATTTGTTTTTTGAGTCGACTAAAAAATCAACTTATCACACGCGGGGTGGGGAGAGGAAAAATGGACAGCGGCCGATTGACATTTGTTTTTTATTCGACTCAAAAATCGACTTATCACACGTGGGGTGGGGAGATGAAAGATGGACAGCGGCTGATTGACATTTGAGCCGACCCAAACGTCGCCTTGGACGGCTGGATTGGCTGAAGCTTGGCGAGTGTGAGATTGAATCTGCTGCAGCCCAGCTGCTGCAGTTTTGAGACGTCTCAAATCTTGCAGCCCAGCTGCTGCAGGGAACCGCGGGTGGGGGGAGGGGGAGAAGGAGTGGGGGGAGTGGGGGGGAGTGGCGCGGGAGTGGGGATATGTGGGAGTGAGTGGGTGGAGTGGTAGGAGTGAGGGAGGGGAGTGAGGAGAGGAGGAGGGGGCGTGCAGACGTGTGAGTGAGATCAGAAATCTTGCAGCCCAGCTGCAGGGAGCAGGGGGGCGGTGGGTGCTGGTGGGGGAAGGGTGGGGGAAGGGTGGGGGAGAGCTTGTGAGGGCTGGTGAGGGCAGGGGAGAGGAGGAAAGCCGTGCGTGTGGATGTGTGAAATCAAAGATACTGTTTCCTAAGATGCCTCAGAACTGAGATCAAATATATTATCAAGTGTGATGTTATCTGCAAGGCACATCTTACCCCGTCTGCAGTGAGGATGTGATTATCGTGAAAGATGACAGGGACGCCGTCCTTAGTCACCTGCACTACAATCACACGAAACGGAAATCCAGCACGGAAGCACGAAAATGAAGGAGACAAATATTCAGAGCCACATAGCAGACTTTTCAAGAAACATCAGAAGGCGATGAATGAAGCCATAAACCAGACACGAAACAAGGGGAACGATTTAACAAAACGAAACTGCTTCAGAGAGAATAAAAAGCCCATACATACCATCAAACATACCTGAAATGCACCACTCTGTTCCAAGTTCGGCCAACATCCCCCGCTCTGCATCTCAACACAACGAATCGGAACTCACCTGAACATCAAACTCCACAAAATCTACGCCCAATTTCGCCGCTCGCTTCATTGACAGAACCGTGTTCTCTCGAATGCCTGGTGAGACACTACAAGCTCCCGTTCCCGCCAACACAGTTTCGGTCGCCGCGGTGGCGACTGGGGGAGGTCGGTTCTGACCGACGCCTCTGTGCCCGACGAACACGAGCCGCACCTGGCCGGCTGACGTGGTCAGACCGGAAAGGGACGACATGACTGGAGGACGGAGTTTCGGAGGTACTGTGTGAGGGGGGAATGGCGAGTGGAGCACAGTGGTCAAAGGGGTGGAGAACGGTGTGTAGGGATTGGTTGGCGAATGACGAAATTTGTGACGAGCTGGGGTTGAGATTGTGGCGAAAACCTAAAACTGTCGAGGCCAAAGCACAACCTCTGGAGCAGGGTTGGATCTAAGCCATGCCTTGTTGGACAGGTTTGTGGTTTGTGCGACAAACCCCGACGACGAAATCACAAAGTGCGGTTGAGAGAAGTGACTGGTAAAGCTTTGGTGTGTGTCGCCACGCCAAGCAACCGTGCTCCCGTCTAGTAGCAGTAGGAAACTTGCTATCTTTACCAACATTAGGGGACTTCCAACACGCGACATAACAAACCATGCAAGCGTAGACGGCTGACATCGTGTCAGAGATCTAGTCATCACCGCATTTTGCATCCTCAGCCATATCGTCGTGGACAGGAGTGCTGCGTCGTGCCACACGACGTCGCTCGCTATCTACAGGTGAGCGTAAACACCACCCTGCTGGCCGTGACGCACTCCAGTGTTTCGAAAAGCCAGAAGCAGGGAATAGGATTGTTTGTGAGGGGGACTGTTGCCCCAACGCAGAGTTGATCCAGGGCAGAATGGCGGTAGATGGCGGAATGAGAGGCAAGCACCTCACTTCCCCCTCCGCAAGCACCTCTCTTCCCCCTCTCAAAGCACTCCTTTCCGATCTCACAGCACCTCCTTCCAACCTCTCACATCACCTCTTTCCCCCCTGCCAGCACCTCCTTTCCCCGTTAATCCTCTGGCATCACCTCCCTTGCCGTTATATCACCACCACCGTTCCCCCCCTGGCTTCACCTCCCTTCCCCATTTGCCTGACATTTGCTCCCTCCCCCGGCTGACATAACCTCCCCTTCCCCTCAATCACCCACCACAAAAGACCATTTGACATCACCTCCCTTCCCAGCCAAGCAATCACCTCCCTTCCCCTCTCCCTCGAAACTTTCTGTAACTTTGCCTCTCATTGCATAACCTCGTATTCCGTTGGGCATTCTAGACTTCTACGCGGCGAATACAGTTATTTCGGCACGCTGTTGGGCCGCTGAGACAAACAGAGCGGATTAGCGTTTACCTTACCCTAAATTCGATTTATATGTACCCCGTAAGTGCATGTTTTCGTAAACCTCCCGTTCCTCGTGCGTCAATCATGCATCCCGCTTCTCTCCAAACCGCATTCACCCCGCTTTCGCGCCCACCGCTGTACCATTTCGTGATGCTAATTCCCCTGCTGTGCATTTCGTGATACATAAACACGGGCCGCTCGTTTGGCTTTCGTCTAACTGGGCCTACGAAATCGAGGCGTAGGCAGCGCGACCCATCGATCTCACGAGCTAATGGCAGTGGGGAATGGCGTCCGCACCTGGGAGACGTATGAGGTTTGCGACGAGTGGCCCTCCTTTCTCCCTTGCTTCTGAAGTGACCCCGATGAGGGATCGTGGTTCAGAATGAAGATCTAGTCGTCGGAAAACGTCACCTCCTAATCGGAGACCAATGAGACTAGGACGGAGCGTTAGAGCTGGTTGATAGTGAATGTCGTAACAGGGCTAGCTGTAGTCTAGTAAGGCTGACTGTCGTGGTAAACACTTGAAATGGCACTGTACATTTGGTTTGCGGGGGCTACCTACTCCCAACCAACCTTCCCAACCCTAACCCTTGATTTGGTTTGTTTTGTGACAAAGTTCTCCTGTCACCGGATCCCTAACACTAGGTTGGAACACAGAAATATGAGACGCCAGCTTCTCTGAAGCGACGGCTGGGAGAAATTACTTCGACAGCAGAATCAAGAAATGCTGCTTGATGCTTCCTTCCTGGTGTTGTGGGCCGGAAAAGATGACTCAGATTCTGATCCCAATATAGGCAATTGTTAGCACTATCGAGACAAGATACAATGAGCGAAGAACTGAGCGAAGAATATATAGCGAAACTACGGTGGTAACGGTAACGTGGGAAAATGGGGTGCGCGACGGGCCTAGTGCCGAGGTTTGGGGAACTGTCGAGGCGGAGGTCCGGAGCGCGGGTTACCAGCCGAACCGTGAGGTTGGGTCGCATCGTGAACAGTGGCGGGAATGGTGTCGAGGCGAATGTCGCGAGTGGTAACGGGATGTTGTGGGGTGCTGTCAGTGTTGTACGCGCTGAGCAGGGACGCGAAGTAAGGAAAATGAATTTTCCTTACACTACCCCCCCCCTCAAGGAGGCTTCCCTTACGAGAGCGCGTGTATATCCCATAAATTTCTGCTGCGCAAGTTGTCGTTGAGGACGGGGTGGTTTTCGATTTTGTCCAAGGGAACCCAGTTGTCCTCGGTGGGTGTGCGGTCTCTCCAGCGTATTAAAAATTCGACCCTTCGGGCTCCTCGTGGGTCACGAACTCGGTGGCTCATAATATTTTAGGGCGTGATGACTGGCTCGGTCGGTGGTCGGGTCATGCTGGCTGGGCGATGTCGGGCCAGTTGGCTGGTGGATGGGATGTAGGGGCGAAGCAGGCTGACGTGGAAGGAGGGGCTGACGTACCAGTCAGCGGGGAGGAGGAGGTGGGCGGTGACTGGTGTGACCATGTGGCTGATGCAGAATGGCCCACAATATCGGGGACAGAGTTTCAGAGTTATGGGCAGGTGGAGGTTTTGAGTGTCGAGTAGAATTAAGTCGTCGGGTTGGTAAGTGACTGGTCGGCGGTGGCGGTCGGCGTTGCGCTTAGCGATAACGTCCGCCTTTTTAATTGCGTCTGCTGCCCTGGTTCGAGCTTCCTGTAAAATTTCTGCGAGCTGTTGCGCTCGTGGCACCGGGTTGTCGGGATTCGGGGTCATGGGTACTGTAGGGTCTTGTCCGTAGTTCAGGTAAAATGGCGACTGTTGGGTCGTGGCGGATGGCGAGTTGTTGTACGCGAATTCGATTAGTGGAAGTTGCTGTTCCCAGGTGGTGGGGTCGTCGCACGTGGCCCGGATTAACTGTTCCATGGTCTGATTTGTCCGTTCTGTCTGTCCGTCGGTTTCGGGGTGGTACGAAGAACTGAACTGCAGCCTCGTGCCGAACTGCTGCCACAGGTTCCGCCAAAAATTGCTGGTAAACTTCGTATCGCGGTCGCTGATTATCACTGCTGGTATCCCATGTAATCGAACAATGGTTGCGATGAAGAGGCGGGCCGTTTCTTCGGCTGTGATTGATTTCTTGCATGCTGCGAAATGTGCCATTTGTCAGAATGTTATATTTGTCTAGCCTGCAGTGGGATACTCAATAGTGAGTACAGCCCAACTTAGGGTTTGCTATATGTACTCAACTGCTTGCTAGTCCAAATCTCTCTTTCTCGTTTCTAACTTTCAACTGCTGTTTCCGACATGGAATCCGAGCAGGTCGACCCTCACGGGTCGATCCTGTGTATGGGCCCACCTAAGCTTCCGCTGTCATCACTGCCTATCGCGCGCCTCGGGCGCGCGCTGTCATTCTCCCTGTCGCGCGCCCATGGCGTGCGGCCATTTTTTGTCCCGCCGCGCGCCACTAGCGCGCGGCGGTTTTCTGCCCGTCGCGCCGCCCTCCAGAGCGCGCGACGCCCTGCCTGCCCGTCGTGCGCCCCGAGGCGCGCGACGGTGCTCTGCCTGCCTGCCTGCCTGCCCGTCGTGCGCCCCGAGGCGTGCGGCGGTTTCGTCGCCTGTCGCGGCGCACCGGGGGCCCGCGCACCCTCCCCCCCCCCCCCCCCCCCCCCGCCTTTTCCCGTCGCCCGTCGCGGCGACCTGGGGGGCCGGGGGGGGGCCGCTCGTCGACCCCTTCTGTCGCCCGTCACGGCGCCCTGGGGGGACCGCGCGTCGGCCCCTCCCGTCTTCGTCGCGGCCCGGCCCCTGCCCTGTCGTCCTGCCCCGGCCCTGTCGCGGCCCTGCCCCCCCCCCCCCCCCTAACCTCCCTACCCGCCAGCTACCGCCCTCCCCTGTGTTAGGGTTTGGGGGTGGCGAGTATGGGGTGGTGGGTCTGTGCAACTTCCCCTGCTCCTCCTCCTCCTCCGTCTCCCACTGCTGCAGCTGCCGCTGAGGGAGGTGGGTGTGTGGGAGCCTACGGAGTAGTGCTAGGGGGTGGAGTGTGAGTAGTGCTAGAGGTGCGGCAGAGGGTGTGTGAAAAAGAGGGTGCGACAGTGGGGGAGGTTGGGTGGAGGTAGCCGTCGTGTCGTCAGCAGCGCCAGTAGTCCGGAGGTGCGCCTCCGGTAGCCCAGCGAGCCTGCTGCGCCAGTCGCCCGTGGGTCCGTTGCTCCTGCCGCTCGTCTTAGCCGCGGAGCCAGTTACTCATGTAGTCCGGAGGTGCGCTTCCGGTAGCCACAGTGCGCGCCGCTCCTGTTGCCCGTGTGTCTGCAGCTTCAGCCGTTGCCTTCTCTCTCCTTTCCTATCAGTCCAGCTCCTCCTCCTCACTTGCCCTCTGTGGTATCCTCTAGCTTTGCTTGTATTTGTGAACTATAAACTGCTACTTCTTGTACTTGTGCTCAGAATGTGTGGTGACTTTGTGATCCACCCTGAGCTTGTTTTGCTTTGTTTGTTGTGCTGATTACACCCCACTTTGGCTATGGGGGTGTGTCAGAATGTTATATTTGTCTAGCCTGCAGTGGGGTACTCAATAGTGAGTACAACCCAACTTAGGGTTTGCTATATGTACTCAACTGCTTGCTAGTCCAAATCTCTCTTTCTCGTTTCTAACTTTCAACTGCTGTTTCCTGTCAGATTTATATGACTTAGCTGTTGTAGGCTATAGTGGGGTAGCACATATGGGGTACAGCTTTCTAGGGTTTGCACTTGTACCCAACTTTCCCTTAGTCTTTTCATTCCTCGTTCATTTTCACATGGTATAGAGCAGGTTCCCCTGTGGGAACTGTTCCTAGGGCCCACCAACTTTTTTTTCCTGCCCGGAGCGCGCTCAGCCTCTGCCCGAGTCGCGCTCCCCTCTCACGGCACCGTCGCGCCGCCCTT